CGCTCGTGCCTACACAAGTCATTGTACAAAGGCAGTAGCTGTGCACAACAACCGTGGGGGGCACGGGGGGGGTCTCAGCAGCAGTTACACTGCACAGACCTGGGGCTTCCCCAGTCCCTCTGCAAGAAACATCAGGAGTCTAACTACCAAAAATAAACCCAGCAAATAAAACCCAAAGAGCCATGGCATTTTGGTTGTGGCTGAAGTATAATGCGTTATCTAATCAAACGATACTACGGTATGATATACCTGAAATAATCGAGTTTGCAGAAGATATCTTTGTCTTTGATGTAGCAGCTGGTGTGCCTGCCCAGCGAGGTTCTGCAGACGCTGCAGGACAGACAGCGCACGTGCCAGCAGAGGTCGTTCACCTGCAAACGCACAAGAGAAAAATACCCCTCAACGTTTGTGCTACCAATATTACATTTCATATTTACAAAAACTATTTTTTCCATCCATACAGACAGACAAGGCCAGAAGTCACAGGTACCGTGACTCACAGAAAAATTTATCTTCAAGGCAAAAACATTTTTCCTATAGAACTGCATGCATATTAAGGGTTAATTAATTTGAGGTCTTCAGAATAAGCTTTCATGGGTTTGTAATTAAAAGCACCAGAAGAGGAAGCGAGAGATTCAAGTTCCACGTAGATATTTTGTGCCCAGCTCTGTTCTCACAGCCTTGGAGTCACAGAGCAAGTTCTGGCCCCACATGACCTGGGGAGGCAGCTACTTACATACTTTTTATTTCCTAGTCTGTAAAAAGTCCTGCCTAGCAAAGAACAAACTTTGCAAAGTGATTTGAAATTTTAAAATGCAAGTAATGAGGGAGAGACAAAAAAATAGCAGTCTGTCAGATAGAAAAAAACCCTACGAACAGCATCTTCATTTGCCAGGTTTCTGTTAAAGCAAAGTTAGTGAATGAGTGAGAGTTTCAAAACATCAGCAATTGTGTTAATAGCAAATTCAACAATTCTTAAACATGTAATATCCACAGTGAAACCAGACATAGTCATGGAAAGCAGCAGAAATCAGCACTTTTGAACACTCACATATAATTTTGGGGCAAATAAATTGAGTGCAATTATTTTAATTTCTTCATTCCTATAAAGAGAAGTCTGTCATGCAGACATTGTGCATCACATCAGCTATATAACTTCAATAATTTGAAAACCCAAGACTCCCAGTGACTGTAAAAATTAAGTAATAACCCTCTGGATAATCCCATGCTGCACAGGAGGAATTCTATAAACCAAACAATGACTAAGTTTAGATTTTTATTTTTATTTTTTTTAATTTTCTGAGCCAATTTCTCCTCTAATAGCAAACAGCCCATACATCGCCCGTGGCAACACAGCAGATCTGAGATAATCCAGGATGTGCCTTTCATCAGAAGGCTGCCAGACAAACCACAGAGAGAGCGAGGCATCGCCCCGGCCCCAGCCCTCGCCCCGGAATCACCGTTTCAGTCATTTTTTCAGGTTATAACGGCCCCCTTCGCAGTCAGCCCCAGTGCTCCCCTGACTGTCACCCTCCTTCCCCGACACCGACCAATTCACACCAGGGCTGTAAAGGTGAAGCTGGTGAGCGGGGCTGTCACCGAGTGGATCCTCCCAAATATTTCTTAAAGTTATTTCCCTGCAGCGGCCCTGGGGCCGGAGGGAGCTGCCGAGTGGCCAGCTCCCCGCTGCGAAGGGTTGCCCGGTGGGGGCGAGAGGAGCCCACAGGCAACCAGGCAGCGCACGAACTGGCACTGAGATGAGCTTTGTGGGGCTGGGATTGTCGGCAAATCCCAGCCCCACAAAGCTCATCTCAGTGCCAGTTCGTGCCTTGCCTGGTGCTTTTCTGCAGAACAGGACATCAGCAGCTTGGATAGTTGTCCCATTTGGTGTCACCCACCTACGTTCTTATTAATTCCCAGGGCTGGAGGTGGAGGACACGTCTCCTGCTGCTGGGCAAGAGCCGCCAGACACACACCTGCACCCACCCTGTTTTAAATGAACACCCCCCCAGCACACACCTCCCTTCGACCTCCTCACCCCAGCCGAGATCTAAGCAAACGCTCCCCCGGTCGCACCGGGCTCTGCCGCGGCGACACCCGCTTTCGCTTTGCGGAACGTACAACGGCGGGATTTAAGGCTGCGCCTGGTGGAATCCAGCGACTTCTGGCACCGCCGTCTAACCTCACTTTTGAAAGGAGAGGGGGCAAAACTCTGACCCAGGATAATTTTGAGGGCTGTAATACAGAAGGAAAATAGCCCCCTTGCCAGACACATCAACGCTTTATGTTTAAAGTCACATGGTTTTGTTTGGTTTTAAGCGATCTTAGCCTTGAACAGCAAGGCCAGCAAACTGCCCGGCACCCGCACCGCTTGCTTCCTTCACCGACATTACTAGACCACCTTTTACAAGAATAACTTATTTCTATATTTTTTCAAGAGGCACTTTTTGCTTTGAGAGTCACACCACCGCGCTAGAAGGTTTGCCTGAGCCGGTAACAAACTGCCCACACCGCTGCCCGGGAGCCCGAGGTGCGGCAAAGAAATTATCCGCGTCCCGAACCATCAGCTTTTCTTCCCCGCTCTCTCCCCCCGCACATCCAGAAAATACAGTTCCAGCGCAGAAAAGCGCTCCCCAGAACACGCAGGACGCCGTTCTCCTCCCGGGCCCCGCTCTCGCCGTCCCGCACGCAGCTGACGCCCCGCTTCTGCCCGCGACCCCGCCGGCAGCCGGGGGACGGGCGGTGGCACGGGCGGGCGGGCGCGACAGCGGCGACAGCGGCGGCGGGTCGGGGAGGCGGCGAGTTTCCTCGGAGCCGCTGAGCCCGGCTCCCCGGGGGCTCTCCCGGGCACCGTCCGCCCCCCCGGGC